GCTGTCTAATCAGCATCTTGATATGCCACACCTGTGAGGTGGGATGGATTATCTCGGCAAAGGAGAAGTGCTCACTATCACAGATTTGTTCAGATTTGTGAACAATATTTTAGATAAATGGTTATTTTGTGTATATAGAAAATGTTTTAGATCTTTGAGTTCATCTCATGAAAAATGGGAGCAAAAACAAAAGTGTTGCATTTATATTTTTGTTCAGTGTATTTCACCTCATTTGACACCGTTAGTATTTTAAATTCCCAAATATCTCCCTCATGCATTATGAATTCACCATCCAGGATTATGTCTGATATCTTCTCCCCTGTTTTATCACAAAGCAATCAGGGAAACAGCTTTCTGGTCAAATGTATAGGCATTCATATTTTTGCTCTTTTTCATCCATCAGATGTGGATCTGTTGAAATGAATTAGGGTTTGATCCAGAACCTTTTAACATTTTAATTATTTTGAAACTACTTATCTTATTTAGCTTGTTTAATCTGTTTAGTTGCAATTAAGATTGTGATACTTGAATTGTATCACCAATAAAGTTTGGAATAGTGTTTTCCTACCAACAACATCTGGCTCTTTACTTGCTTGGTAATAAAGGAAGTGGTTTAACATTTGCCGGTGATTTCCACAATGGCTCATCTGCCATAATCCTCTACAAACACTTATCTGATGACAAACACCTCTATATTTCATTAGCTATTTCCCCTTGTGAATTTTCCTTTTTGCTTGGCCAGCAACTCTGCTGCCACCATAAGTCAATAATCATCATGCAATAGATTCCCTGAGGGTTTCAATGCCCAGCTTGAGAACTGCTAAAGCTTCCCTGTTGCTCATCTGTCATCTGCTTTCTGGCTTCAACACAATTGACAACACTTCCTCCAGGTCAGCTCTCACAACAAACCACAGGCAGTCCCCTCACTGCGACAGAAATGTAAAAAATTACTGAGAATGGCAGTGGGCTTTTGAAGGGTGTAGGACAACACTTTACAATGTGTGGGTCGTTGAAACACATATTAGGGTTCACTAGCTGATCACGTAGGTAGGCAGGAAAACAAATCCATACATACATTGATAATTGTACGGAGCCCTGGAGGGTTCATATAGAGAGAAAGATAAATAAAACGTGGCCACGTTTTACTTTCTCGTTCGCACGAGATACCTTCGAGATACCTCCTCGTTTTATTTAAATTGAGGCCACGCTTCTGCTGAGTTACACGTTACTGCCTCCAGTGCCCTGTACGACGAAGCCAGTTCAACAGACCCTGGATATGTTTGATTTACCCGGCTTAACTAACCCTAACAAACGCGATGTCGCTAAGCGGTCCTACGAAGCTGGTTATCAACTCAGTAAAATCAACCAGGGTTTCTCTGTCCGGGTGAGAGCGCGTTCACGTGAAAGGGACGGGGTTAGCAACATTTGACCAATCACAAACATGGAGACGCGGGCTGACAGCGCAGCGTCATACTTCATGAATGAATAGTGTAAATAGCAAATCCTGCTTCGTAGCCACTGGTGCTGCAGAGATTTCATAAAGTGAAGGAGGTTTTCCTTCTATAAAACAGATACTGTTAGTCACGGACAGGAATCCCTCAATTTAAATAAAACGAGGCCACGCTTTATTAACTCGTGCGCACGCTTTATTAACTCGTGCGCACAAGTTAATAAAGCGTTCGCACGAGAAGGTATCTTGTGCGAACGAGAAAGTAAAACGTGGCCACGTTTTATTTATTTTTCTCTCTATGAACCCTCCAGGCTCCGTATAATTGTACCTATTTGTCGTTGTATATATATTATTTAGCCTCATTTACTGATATATTCTTGAAAAGGTCCAAAGAAAAGTCTAATTATTCTTAAAATACATGCCAATGTGTTCCTATATTTGTTTGTATGATAATATCTCCTATTGTACTTTAAATATTATAGGTCCCCTATAATACTGTTTTTCATCAATAGAGTATAGGTTTCAGATATATACAGAACATGTCTCTGAAGTGTTTGGCTCCAAACACCAAACAAATCATTGCAGCATCCCATAATCCCCTCTGTTTCAGCCCTGTTTCAAAAGTGCTGATTCTCTGTCTGTTACTTTAGATGAAAATAAGGAGCCCCTCCCCACGCCCCTCTGAGAGACATTTGGTTAAAAAGAACACAATGTTGCTCTAGGAGGAGATTCAGGTGATAAGGGGGGGGGGATTACCTTGGTTGGTTATTGGCTAATGGTTACACAAGCCAACACATCATTATGACATCATAAAGTGGCCAAAATCTGATCAGTTAATTTTTTACTTTTTATATAAATGAAACATGTTTATGTATAAAATACATGAAAAGGTGGATTTTGCATAATAGGTGACCTTTAAGTAAACAATCTCCTTGTCATCATGGTGAGATGACAATACATTTTAGTTTCTGCAGATACAACATGCACAAAAATAGAAGTCACATTAACACCAAGCTAGAGGATATTGTGGATTGATATTTTTGACTTGTCTCAAATGAGATCATTGACTTTTTTTGTTGAATGGAAACATTCTGGAAACAGGAATAGATGGAGATATTAAAGTCAATGTAACCCCCTCCAGTCCTGCACACTGCCTCATGCACTACCCCACCTGAGAGCCTGTAAAACACTAGAGCACCATTGCCACATTTTCAAATAACAACTTCATGTCACATGCCTCAGGCTTGTATTTTTGTGTTCTTGTTTTCCTGTATGGGCTAAAGTTGCTCAAAAGTCCTTTTACCTTGTGATGTGATGTGTTTATACTTTTATTCAACAAGGGTTCTTCCTAGCCCCCCACTGATAATACCTCTAGTCTTCATTATACAACTCTGAAACAATTGAAAAGGTCATCTAGACCTTTAGATGCACTGTGTATAAGAACATCAGGATTTTAAGCAATTTGTCATACATTAAAATAGCATGGACCAAAAAGTATTTCAGGTAAACTCCCTGAACTTTCATCATACTGTATGAACTCTGTTGTTTTCCAAACTTCCATCTATCTCATCTCATCCCACGAACCGCAGGTGAACCCAGTCTTCATAAAAACAGCAATAATATAGAATGATATCAAACTTTAACGCATCCAAGCACTTCCCCTGTATCTAAATGTCAGCCCTGAAGCTAAATATTTCAAAATTGCATTTAAAAATATATGAAGTCTGACTTCCTGGATCTTTCATGTGTAAACGCTAACTTCAACCTTTGGTGCACCCTCAACTAGTTTATATATTTACTCAGGCGTTCTCTATCCCCTTGAGCCCTCTGTCATTGTGTGGAATATCATGATTAAGCGTGTGATCAGTAGAAATCAATATAAAAAGGTATAGATAAATGGAAAAAACAATATTAATATGAATGAAAACACTAGCTTCATGGAAAGCACTTGCATTGAAAAACCAAAGGAAATATACTCTGAAAAAACACAGGTGACATCTGACAGCTAAACTACACTGCCTCCACAATCTGATTAAAGATAATTCCAAAACCAATTGCTTTACTGCAATACAGAAGTAAGTGGTAATAGATGATGATAGCAACATCTGACACAATTTAACAATCTTTCAATTTGTACAGAGACCTACGGAAATTGGAAAAAGTGATGAGGCAGTCGAAACAAATTGAAGCAAAAGGAATAACATTTTCTCAACTGCCTATTTTTACATTTGTAGGTTACACACCTTTCCTTTTCACGGCATCCAGAACTGGTTATAGTTTATCATATAAGCTATCTAAAGCTATAAAGAAGCAAGGCATATGGCTGACATTTTCAAAATCCCAGGTGTGTGTTACAGCTTGGCTAAGACCCCATATCCAACATGGGAAACTAAACGTCTTTAAATGAATCCCCTGCCTTCACAGGGTCACCGACAGGGCACTTCTAAACCTGGTAAAAGGTCCCGTAACATGTGTTCTTTCAGCTTGGATATGTAAAACACTTCCAGACTAATCAAAACTTTCTAACAGCTTAAATTGAGGCAAACAATTCAAAGATAATCAGTAATCTCCTCCAGCCCTTGGGAGCTCAACACTTTCAAATAATTTTCTTCCCGGGATGATCGTTCTGCCGACTCAGGTGTTGTGAGGAGAATCTCAATAGGAAAGGTCAAACTCTTATGGTAATGCATTGGTGGTGATCACACACTCTTCATCGCTCATATCTTACTGTGCAACAATAAACGAAAGTGGCCTAGCTCCAGATTACAGTGCTTGCTGCTGAATGAAATTCATCACTGCTGCATTTATAGAGCACATATATTGTCTATTACAATCGCTGCTTGCTTTTGCATGAATGCTCCTTAGATGTCTATGAATGTGTTTCTGGTGAATGCAAGACTGGCATCGTAGCTGGACTGTGACTAAACATCTGCATGATGTGAGAAAAGTACATTCTCCCACAATGAGAGGATTAGAGGAGACAAAAGTAGAGAAAGGAAGCTGAATAACAAACAGAAGCACGGAGGGGGGAAAGTATAATGAGGGCTGTAGGGTGGAGATGACCCAGGTTTTTCGATGCGGCAGTCAGATGTTTTGAGCGGAATGGCTCTAAAAACCCACTTTATGCTACCCAGCCAACTCCACATCGAGTGATTGTTGGACTTGCACATGCCCAGAAGCAGAACTCTATATGACTGCTATTGCTTATCTGTGTCTGATTGATTGACAGTTGCTTAGTTATTCTGCGTTTTAATGGCCAGGTTTATATTTCCAGTAGATTCTTAAATCATTCGTATCTGAGTAGAAACTATAAGATTCACAGAAGAAAAGGTGCTTTTCAAATGTCCATAACAGCATGATTTCCAACTCTGATAAAAGTGATTTGTAGAAAATGACAAGAAAAACATTGGAAAACCTCTTGAGAGTTATAAATCTAGCGCCATCCTTTGCCATCCTGGTCAAATAATCAATTATATCCTCGCAGTCACACAAATTCAGGGTTGTGTGGGTGATTTGAAGTATTGTATGAAGTATTTAGATGATACCTTACCTTGACAAGTATTCACCCGAACTGCCGTTGCTCTGCGGTACATCCATACAGTTAGTAGTTCCAGGTATGAGTGCCAGGGCAGGGTTCTCTTTGGCCGCACTGCCCACGGCCCGCGCGACCAGCTCCACCGAGTCCTGCACGTAGTGATCAAGAGAGGGGGATCCCATGATGCCGTGTGCTAGTAGCCCCAGGGGCAACCCCTCTGTTCTCAGCTCGGCCACATTCTGGCTGTCCCCCAAAACCCAGTGAAACTCTGGGAGCGTCATCCGACTGGCCAGCGTCCACAGGCGCCGCACCTCGCGGATCTCGCACCCAAACGTCACCACTCCCCTGGTGGACGAAGGTTCTCTCAGGGCCTCCAGCTGCCGCATGAGAGCCTGCTGGTGGTCCGATTTTAAAGAGGAAGTGGAGGCAGAAGCAGCAGAGGACGAGGCAGCAGGGGAGAAGTAAGGCAAAGAGGAAGATGATGACGATGAAGTTTCCCCTCCTGCTGCCAATCCTGAGTGCGATGATGAAGACGTTGAAGCGGTATTAGTCAGGTTGACTAGAGTGCCCAGGTGAAAGCGGGTGTTGTTTTTGACGAGGAGGAGGAAATCGCTTATGTCCCATTCCTGACAGAGCAGAATACTGATGTCCCACCAGCCATTCATCATCAGAAGGGTAGAGAGGAGACGGGACGGTGGGGCCTCAACGGTCCGCATCGCCAGTTGAAAATGGAGAGGATTCTGAGAGGAGATTGTATCAGGGGCACGGATGAATGGGAAAGAGATTTGGGAAAGGGTAAAGAGGATGAATGTTCAATGTAAAAGGGCGAGAAGGATATAATAAATTGAAATAGAATGGAATACATTTGAGGCAAAGTGATTGGGATTGGAGAGATGGGATAGATATGTTTAAACAAATACACAGGAGGAAATATAAATATAATGGTGATAGGAGTCATATACAAGTAATGATTGGGAGGACAAAGAGTTGATTAGGCCCAGATTTAATAAAGGGCAGAGAGATGGGAAAACATTAGAGGATGGTTTTTGAAATGAAGGGTAGATTGCGGAAATGGGAAAGTGAGAAAAGAAAATGGAGAGAATGCAAAATGAGGACAATGGTGGAGGAGGTTGGTGGCAACATTACGGAGAAGGTTATATATGGGTAAGAAAAGGAAGATGGGACACAGATGTAGTAGAGCGGAGAAGAGAAGAAAAAGAGGAAAGAAAGAAAAACAGAAAGGTTATAAATCCAACAGAATTACTTTATATCCAAAAGATTCAATTTGTTCCTACAGAACAAACACACTCTGCTAGATATAATAGATTTCAGATTCCACTTACCTGCTCCCATGAATATCATTACTCACATCACAAGAAATACACATCTATTTTCGTATGTACTCTATATTTAAAACACACCTAACATCTTAAGAGACTCAACTGGGAAGATCCTCATACTGTAGTTACTGTAATTCATTCACACCATGATTTGCAATTCATGAGATCATCATTTGATTGATGAGGCCTGGACAGATCAATGGGTAAGAACATGGCAATGGGGAAGAATTTCCACCTGGACCAGTGATGATAAAAGTGTTGCCTCACACACCAGTGTTGCCTCACACACCACAATGGTGGCAGGTGGTGCAATGAAAACCATCCACCCAATGGCTAAATGCTGAAGGGAACTAGAGTGGGCAGCCTAATTATCCACTGCTTCATATCCACAATTCTGCAGTCGTTTTTCTTTTAAGATGAGGATTGGGGTGAATATCATTCAAAGTGTTTCATTATATTCTTGTCTGAGCATTCATAATGTTGAAATTCTTGTCTGAGCATTCATAATGTTGAAATTCTGCAACAAACAGGAGTGCCACGCTGCCACGCTGAGTGCTTGCTTGTCTTGTACCTATACCTATACCAATACCTATATTGTTGTTGACCTTTTTCCAAACTAAAGGGTATTTTTTAGAATGATATCCTGTTATATGATGCCTCTGGTTTTACAATTTTGGCAAATTTACTTTGAAGCCTCTAAATTAGCTTGAGATAGCTAAAAAACACTCAAACGTCCACTAACTATGTATTTTTTGGGGTCACAGTTAGTTATCTTTGTGTAAGTTGCAGGGACACATTTCTGAAATCTTCTTGGTTAATTAATGATAATGTTTCCAAAGGACCAATTAAACCCAAATTATAAGGAAAAGTAGACTGTATATGAAGTTGTTCAGAGCCTAAATCGCAAGTCTCACAACTTCTATACCCTATAAAAAATTATGTTACTTCATTTAAAACAAATAACTTCTCAACTCCCTCAACTTTTCTCACAGCTTAGCAACTATTAACAACACAGGTCATACTGCATTCGGTTTTCCTCAGTGACTTCAGTTGTTCCTTTCACTCATTTCCACTCCTGGCGATGGTAACTGCAAATAACTAACATTAATACTCACTTGGTAAGTAAGGATGGCTCCCGGGGAAAACAAAATACGATAATGCTTTCCTGCTTTTGCTGCACTATGGGTAACAACACGCTTCCTTTGTGCCGTCAATGGAGACTTAATTTTCCCGGAAGATGGTACCCCGTGGCAGCCATAATTGCATAAAGAAACAAGGCTTATATGGAACCAACTTAAAAGCAGATGGAGTCATTATTTCATAGCCATAGCATTGTGCAATCAGTATTTACTTTATGATGATACCGCAGTAAAGTTAGCTTTAGGTTGTATATTTAGCAGACAGTGGATCCTGCAGCATTTTCTTACTTAGACTGTTGTCAGTCAGAGGACAATTGGCTCACATTCAAGCCCTTACTCTTAACAGTATCTCAAGTGGGCATCATTTTTGAATAGCTTCCATGTCAAGTGACCCAGGACACAAGTAGGACACAACCCTTTTTACTGGATATTGGTCCACCTTTTTTCCAATTAAAAAAACTGCTATATTTTCTTACAATTTTTCATGTTAAATAGAAAAAGCACTAAATTCCAATTTGAATGAACAAATATGTTATGGGTTTGTCCGTGGCCCATGTTACACCCTTTTCCAAGTTTCAGTTCAAATGAATCCGAAGGATTTCCATAAAACTGCTGACAAACAAATAAACCAACAAACAGAAACAAATCAAGCCGGAAACATACCCTCCTTGGCAAAGGTACTACATGTAAATCAAGGACTGCGAAAACAGCTCTCTGCATGGTTGGACTTTATCATTACACATTTTTTATACATTACATGACATGGTTGTCAATACTGTAAAATATGTACGATTTGTATATCACTGGCTGAAATAGCCAAAACCACCTGGCAGTAGTTCAGTCTAGTTCAGTCATCTCGATCCGACAAAAGAACAGATTATGGACTGGTAGCTGCAGAGCAAGGCACCTTGGCTTCTTTCTTTTTCCTGTTTCTAATTACTCAAATATCTTCTTTAGTGCCATTATGTTCAGAGCAGTCCTAACCCACAAAACAAATACCGTGCCGTGCACTTATAGAAATCCAGAAAATGAGCTGATACAATTGAAAGTGTTCACAGTCGAGTCATCCTTTTAATACTGAGCTGCCAGATCTACATCAGTGTGTCTTGGCATACTTTACTCAACATACCAATCAATCAATCCGCCAAGCACCTGCTTGCATCCAGTCAAACACACAAACACAAGCACACACTTAAAAAGCCCTCAGCATCTCAGTGTAATTGACTTTACAACTTTTCCACAAGCTTTGCACTAAGAGTCCATTAGATTAAGCTATTGGTTAATTTCATTTATCCCATTAATCTTTGTACCCAATGGGCATGCAAATAAGATCATCGTTATTCATCTGTTTAATGCATACACACGGCTGGATTATTGCTGCAACAAAAGCAATAACAAAAACAATTGTGCGTGTTTCATTTCAGTTTTAGAAGTCCTGTTTCTGGGAAATAAATGGTAATGCACTCCGCAGGGCATCAGCCTCTCACCTCCTCTCATCCCCCAGGAGGATAGGAGGATTTATTCTCAGCTGTAGCACTTCTACACTGTGATCACAATCTGTAACTCCCTCTTTGTTCCTCATGTAAATAAACAGGGAATAAATTTGCCACAAAGTGCGGCAGTCTGCTCTCTTAAATAAATACAACGGCTGCTTTCGAAGCACTTGGAAATCCGCTTTGTTGTCACTGTGCTCTATTTCATCACTCTTCTCGCTGCAGAAATCTCTTTTTTTCCTATGACTTCCACACCTTAAACACATTTGCTGGGTTTTGTTTTAATGTGAGGAAACTTGCAAGGCTTGCTTTGAGGTAAAAGTGCAGGGACTGGCAGAATCAAGAGTCAGTGGACAAATCGAATAAACTAATAATGTGTTGGTATTGATCCGTCCCTGATTAGATGATTCATTGTGAGGAAAGTGTGAAACTAATTAAATTGTGTTTCTATTTTTGTTTTGTTTTACAAGATTGCAAGTTTTCTTTAATAGACTTAAAGAACACTGTAATTATCAAGTTCTGGCATATGTTGCAAAATCTTTACATTTTTGGCAACTCAGTATTGTTGCTTTTACATCAACAACCCCCTTCGGCCCCAACCCTGAACCACTTGTAGACCTTTACCCATACTCTAGTTACAGCCTTTCATCCTAATGCCCTCTTTATGTCACTGCCATATTTATGAAGGGACAATGAGAAACTTCACTAATTCTCCTCATAGTCAGTGAAGCCCTATCATTCATCTGCTATGCCTGGATAGATTTCTGAGGACATAATTACTCCATTATCCTAATCAGTGTAATCTACAAATTAACGTACCAGGATCTAATTGAAAAATACATTCCAGGCTTACAGTGGTTTTAAAAAAAATAGTTTCTCAGTAAAGAATTTCCACAAATTATCTCTGACACATATAGACACCCTCGGACAAAAGTCTCATCAAATAGTTATTTTACTCAAGCCATTATTGAAAACATTACAAAGGTGGGTCATGGTAAATTGCTGCATGCCAAGTAGAATTATCTAGGATCTCACAAATGTGCTAATTGTGATAGTTGACAAATTGTGTTAATTGGCGTCCATTATGACCCAATTGTGAGAGAGTGTTAGTAACTGTGATTAGGATGTTCTAAAGCCACTTTGTCAACTCATTTCTGTTCACATTGTAAATAAATTGGCTTCCTTCTGTCCTCTTCAACAGTCTATACCTCATTAGCTACACTTAAGCAGTTGTTAATTACAGCTGTACACGTATGATGTCCAGAAATGAACCACAAACATGAACCCTAAATTAAGTCCACCAAAGGAGGTTTAATACAACATTTTTGTAAATCAGATTAAATGTAAAGATTCCCTTTGCATTACATTTAAAATGCGCTGCAGAAATTCTCATTATGTCAAAGAGCGTATGTGTACATGATTGGATGAAATAGAAACCAACATTTGCATATTTGATACGAGGAGTGAAGCAGGTAGGACCCAAACGCAGATAACACTTGATAATACCTTTATTTCAAGGGCTCTTATTGTATCTAACATCTCACATGGACCAACAAAACACTCCACGGTGAACTAGGTCACAAACAAAAGACGAACCAACACAGAACACAGGAAGAGACAAGACTAAATACAGGGAGGGGTAATCACAAGATGAGAAACAGCCGGGCAGGGGAGGAGAAACACAAGGGCCACAGGTGAACACAATCAAACAACTAGACACAACAGGGAAACTAACGAGAGGAGGAAAAACACAGGGAAAAGGACCAGACAATATACCAGGAGAAAAACGTGACAAGGAGAACAGCAAAACACCCAAACCTAGACATAAAAACGTGACATGACATGAATATCGTGACAGTGTGCCCCAAGCTCTCAGTAAAGATGCTGTATCTACATTTCACAAAAGCTCCAGCGGTTCAACATGTTCTAGATATCCATTTTAAAAGTAGGTCCTCCTATCACAGACAACTGGTCCCTCCTCTGGAGTTTCTCAACCACTGGTCTATTATATTCTAAATTCTCAACCCTTTGCAGCTCCCAAAGCCTCTCTGCCCAACCCACCTGATCCCTTTGCTCGGAGTTCACATACATTTTTTGGTTCAGAAGCATATTTCCATATATTCATGCAGCCTCTTTGTTTCAACCCTTACGTAACACAATGTGGGCGTATACAGTAATACAGGTTGCTTGCTGGGTGATTATATTATGCTGTTAATTTTTTTTTATTACATGTTACTTGTTAGACGCTTTTATCCAAAGCGACTTACATACTCAATACTGTGGACAATCCACACAGGAGCAATTTGGGGTGAAGTGTGAACCTGATCCGAACACCAACGCTCTATCCACTACGCCTCCCTGTTCATCATTGAATACTGTTTAAAGGATGAATGTGTAGTAGCCACATGCTCAAAAATAAATTAGGGGCAGTCTTTCGAACAACTGATCAACATCTGAGATCTGGTCGGAAAACACTGCAATCTTATGTCTTCCAAGAGAATAACTTAACTACAAAAAAATTCAGGCAGGACATGACACACTCAGTGGTCTTCAGCAACTCAAATTCAGCTAGCACAAACAAGCGCTAGGCCACAGAGGGCTGGTTGAGCGCTGGGCCTAACAAGTGTAACGGAAGCAACAGGAGGATTGCTGATGCAGTGGGGAGTCAGAGGAGCAGTAACCCTGGATCAGAACTATACGTTGCTGGGTTTTGCTCCGGCTGAATTAAAGCATTCAAGAATTCAAATCTGCTTACGGTCTATCTCACGGAACTGCCACATGTTCTTGTCGCAGAGAAGTAGTCTCTTGGAGGCGGGGAGGACCTGGCAAGGGTGTGAGTTGTTGTCTTGTTCCTGCCATGTTGGATGTAATCTATTAAACAAACTGCCATGGAGTTATTATTGACAATCGTTTGGGGCCACTGTACTTTTTCGCCCTATTACGCAACAATGAGTCACTCTCGCCTCTCGATGAACAACATGTATTACAAGATAGAATGGGATAGGGTTATTCATTTAGCATGCTAATTTCAGTATAAGTCTGCAACACAATAAATGGACCTCTGACTTAATTTCCACTTTAACCCCTTCACATTATTTTGATAATACAAGACAGTTAACATTTTCAATCTTACCATCTTATTGTATAAACTTTTGTGGCATAAGGCAAAGGTCAGAATGGAATCCTCTAAACATATTTAGAAAGTTTTCACAACTTGGAAACTCTGCTTCGGAGAAATTGCAGTCAGCCATCAGTTGGGATTTGCTAGGAAAACTAGATTCATTCAGGAGGGAGTTAAGCCATCTCTCAAATAGTCACACATGAGTTCGACACAATCTGTTTGTTTGTCTGTCAATTGCAGAGTAAATGTTTTTGCCTATCCGTCCATCCAACCAACAAACCATCTATCCATCCATCAACCAATGAATATGTGTCTGTTGGTTGGTCTGTTACAGCGAATACCTGTTATTGAACTTTGTAGAACCAGTTTGGACTTTAACACCTACTAACTGCTTAAAGCAAATGTTTCCTTGTGCACGGAGCGGGAAATTAGATTGTAGGCTACCCTAAACACACACACACACACGTTTCTAAAGCTCAGTAGGTGGCAAGTGTCCCAGAACCCTTCAGTCTAACTAATGGTTCGGATGTGGGTGTGTATGTGTGTGTGTTTCAATTGCATACAACAATAAACAATGATGCTCTTTGCCCCTGCCAGGAAGGTTGTGCGTGGAAGTCAACTTCACGGACACATGCACTCACCTCTACTCTTTAATATACGATTACTGCCATGTTAGTGCCACCTTATTAAAGCCATACAAAGAGATCAGAAATCTAAAGTGCTTAGAAATATCATACCACAATATCAATATCCGTCCGGCAGTGGCTCAGTCAGTAAGGGCTTGGACTGTGAGTCGTAGGTTCACCGGTTCAAGTCCCCGTTCAGACCTAAATATGGAGTGTGGACTTCTACTTGGAGAGGTCCCAGTTCACCTCCTGCCCTGCCGTGGTGCCCTTGAGCAAGGCACCGGACATCCCCCTTCCCCCCTCACTCCCATTGCTCCCCGGGCGCTGTACAATAGCTGCCCACTGCTCCTAGTACTAGACTCGTGGTACTAGGATGGGTTAAATGCAGAGGCCAAATGTCATTGTGTGTGCTGTGTGCTCTGCATGTGTGATGAGAGGCATACTATGAGAGCTGGTCAGAGGGATGCGTTCAAATGTAGTCAGTAATTTGAGGAACTGTCGAAAATTAATGGCGAACGCAGATAAAGTTGAGCTCGAAAATCCTCCAGCATCATTGAAGTCTCCGGTTTGAGAACATTTTGGTTTCGCAGTTACGTACAAGGATGAAGGACAAAGACAGGTGGACCGAACCAAAGCTGTTTGTCGGCATTGTTCAACTAAAATTGGTTACGCGGCTGGCAATACATCAAGCTAGCACACTCTTGAAAAGGCATCACCCGAACGTGAATATCACCGGTACCAAAAGAAAAAAAGACTGAAGTGCAAACCCAACTCCCGCTAGCATGTAAGCCTCCACCACTCGCAGAGAGTTCAGACCGAGCCAAAGCTGTTACAAACACCAAATATCCTTATGTTGCCATGTTAGCAAAGCGCTACCTGGCTGTATCGGCTACCTCTGTCCCTAGAGAGGGTGTTCTCCACAGCAGGAGACATAAAGAGGGGTTCATCCCTCCCTATTCTATATGATAGATATGTTTTGCCGAGCTATCAGTAGGAGTTGCCTAGTGTTTAGGTTTCCTTTTGGAACATGGAAGGCAATGACAACAACTTTTTGTTTGTTGGCCTAAATGGATCTTATGGCCAACAAACACATCATATTTCCAATGATTCATGGCTTTTAAACAATTTCCAAGGGGTTTGGGTCAGGGTTCGAAGGTGCAGACAAGAGCTTTCACAACAGACTAAGCTATAGTAAAGAGTTAGGGTTAAATAGAAAGAGGTAATAATGTATACTTAAAAAAAGTATTGCTTTTGATTGAAACAATAATAGTACAATCTATTGGCCATTTGTTTTAAAAAAAGAGTTCTGAGTTAAAGGGCTATACATACAGTACTGTACTGTAGTGTAGAAAAGCTAGTGGAGTCATTTAGAGAACACTATCTGGAGGAACAATGTTCACCTTATTTTAAAACCAGTGAGACACCTTTGAATTGTCTGTATAGTTGACTCCCTGTGCACTTATCAGTGTGCATTCATTGAAATACACCAAATACCAAGAGTGTTATTATCCAATGTTCTATTTCTTAAGGGTGGTTCTAAACATATTTGTTTCCTATACAGACATAACAGTAGGCCAGTATCCAATCGGATTTTGACCTTACATTGATTGTGCAGCTCATCGCTAGCAGGTTAACAAAGTATGATTATGATATAAGCTTCTGATCATAACTTATGGATTGAGAACGGGCAATTAAAAGTTTCTTGTTGAAAGGAAATAAGTCAGATCAATACTGGAGATGTCAGGTCAGCTTGAGGTTAGAGTTGCAATTTAAAATGTTTTCTCTCTCTCTCATGTTGTTGAACCTCTGCCCATGGAAGGCTGAATAGCAACAAAGCTTGGACAAAAGAACCTCGGGGCATGCATGTCCTGCCTGGTGTACATAGCATATCTACAGTATATCAATCGTGTTTTTCACTGCAAACCTTGTCTATAACAGAATACACAATGCACTCATCTCCTCCTTGTCTGCACCATGGACACAGCCTAAATGCCTCCTAATTGTGTTCCGGTTCGAAGGTTTTTTCCTGCAGCCTTTCTCAGACTCCACAAGCTGATGTCATATGTGAAAAGGAAAATCAGCTTGTGTCCCAAATTGTGTCGTCAATATAGCTTAATTGGGCTATTTACCAAGAATGGAGTACTGAACAAGCAAGACAAAGAAAGGAAAATGTTGTGCCCTTCATCTGAAAGAATGACTAGTTCACAGTAGGAGGAGAAAATAAAAATAAAATAAAAAGACAGTGTGGGTAAGAGTTTCCCTTTCAGACTCTGTCTAATAGGCAGGCTACTGGTGGCCCCTATGCCTTGTAAATCCACCAAAACAAATGTTAATGATGTAAAAAACTGTGAAGAACCTATTTATTTATATATAAAACAGTTGTATTTTCATAGATTATTGAAAATGACTGACTTGTCACAGTAGTTTTCCTTCATATAACAGTTTCTAAATCCACTGCACCTGTATGTCAAAGTTCATTATTCAACAGTGCAGTGCAGATGTAATTGAGTAACTTTTTTTTCTTTTACCTCACTTTGGCGCGTAAACTCCTTCTGCACAACGCTGACTACTGGCACCTGGAGCGCGAGCGAGATGAATTCCAACTTGACGAACTCGTCCAGGTTCCTTGGAAAGGAGACCATGGCGGAAACCCCCTGCACGATGACGGTGTGACAAACGCTCTCCAAGAAAGACAGCGGGTCGTCGCCCTCGGGGCTGCCCGCAGAGGAGGAGGAGAACGCGGGAAGCTCCCCCAAACCGGACCCAACGGCCATGACGACCTCCATGGATAAATTGTATGGCAGCAATCCGGCCCGGTTGAGAGCCTCCACCGCGAGCAGGACAGAGTCTCGGGGTGCGAACACGCGGTTCTCCCTCGAGTTGTTCTCCTCACGCTGCCTTGCCTGGCTCTTACTCCTGCTGGCCCCCCTCTGGGCATTAACGGTGCCTCTAGTCCTGAGGCTTCCGTATCCAGGTGCACCAGAACTTATTTTTACCTGCTTTTCCAACTCCTCACTTCCAATCCAGCCTCTATCCGCGTCCCAGTCTTTAGAGCTACCGGTAGTTGTGGTGGAGAGCAAGCGGGGCTGCACGTGCAGAGCCCCGATCCGAACCGTGTGTCCGATCCGTTTCAGCACCTGGCACGGCTGCGGGTGCGAGTGAACGCACGATGGGAGAAAGACTAGAGCGCACAGCAGTAAACATAATGACGGCGGGACCCCAGTGCCTGTTCGAGCTGCCGGGCCATTCATCATCCTCATCATCATCACCACCGTCTTCATCATCCGCGCTCCACAGCTGCACCGGATGCCCCGTCCAAGCACACAACGGCGGAACACCGGGGCCGCTCCGTGTGTCCCCTGCGTGTGGCCCTGGCGCGCCGCTCAGACCAGCTGCAGCCCCAAATCCAGCTCCAGCTCTCGGCAAAGTTGCGCTTTTCTCCACGGACACGGACAACAGGCTACTGAGGCGCGAGATCAGGCACGAGCCGTGCACAAGCAAAACACGATCCCCAAAAGTGCTGTTTTTCATCTCAAAAGATTTCCATCATTCAAGCCTTTTCGTGACTGAACAGGTTGTGGAATAAAATGGTAAAATATTCCACATGTTCCAGGTACAATGTGAAACAGAGTGTGGAGGGAAGCCCAGTGGAGGAAATGTCGAGAAAAAAAGGTCAATGCGCATCAAACACATTCCAAAACAGTGAAATCCACCACTGGAAACATCTGATGGCTTCGAAGGAAAATTATCCCGTTATCTTCCAGAGAGCACGAGCCGTGACAGCACTACTCCATCCTGGTACTCAACAGAAAAACAAATGTTTTGTTTTCCCCCTTGTTAAACACCAGGGTACAAGCTTTCCACGCGCTGCTTGGCTCGAGTCAACCTCTGTACAGACACTTGTGCCGGCGAGACCTCCGGCACGAGAGCGCGGTGTTCTGCGCACGTTCCAATGAGATTTAACCCCGTCCTCACTTTACCCCCTCCCTATCGACATCCCCTCCAACAGAGTCAGGGGGAGAGGTTATGATTGAATGAACAAGTTGCATAACACAAGACAAAATAAATTAGATAGATGGATAGATAGATAAGTTAAAAGACAAATGAAAGTCATTGTATATAGTGGAGGGGGGCTGAATGCAGATCTGATTCATTAGGTCAACTGAACAACAAATCCCCTGTTGTCTCCACTGTATGGCAGGCATACTGTAAATATGTCATAATATACTGTTACTGAAGGTCTCAAACTTGACATGCCATAATACATTTATCTTAACAACAACCCTTCAATAAATAACAGCATTTGTGAACGTGTCAAAAAGGCCACAATTCAGATTTATCGTCATATTTTTCAACCTGACGTGGGTGCATATGTGCAAGGTGTTTGCTAATGGCATTATGTGTGGGTGCCACTTGAATGCCTCACAATGTAGACAAATATGAGATAGTGCAAAGAGATGAATCAACACTTATGTTAAAGTCTTAAAAAGGCATAAAAGTCTTACAAAATTGTCAGTAATATAATATATCGCAAACTTTTCACCAATTTGTCGAGCACGTGCTGTTCCCAGGTGAACATACAGTAGTGGGTTTAATGAACGCATGATGATACACTTTAATAATCAGCCAATAAGCTGTGAAGATGTTCATATCATCCTGCATATGCCAAAAATGTCCACTCAGCCCACTGTATTTATTATTAACACATGTCACAGTATAGTGTCGTATGTATCACCACTGCATAGGTGACAGGATTTAAAGGCAGCATTAAGCTCATCTTCCAAGCATAAGCCAAACATGTAACAACAACAAAATCGGAACATTGATCACTGCTTCTCTTGTTGCTATGCAAGAGCCTTGCTAATAAACCCAACAATTGCACTCACACTGGTCACAACAGTCCTTTCCTTCTTAATACCAACATTGTGTCCTTTCATTATATTACAGTTATTCCTGACATATCACAAAGCACAAACCAGTATTCAAAGCAAATCTGTCCCTTAATATAATTAAAACGTTTGAGATATGTAAAAATACAGCCAACGTATAGTTGTCATCTTTAGGGAAATTAGCAATAGAGACCGACACCATGTTGTACCAGGCTGTCCACAAGTGTATTCCTTCTGTGAAGTTAATCATTTCAACATGGGGATATTGGGAGATTGCTCTCTTGTGGAGCCAATCTCAAGCGGCCATTTGATAAACTGCAGTTTTTGTTTTCTGAGCTGTTGCTGCTCGGTTGTCACAGGGCCAGAGGAATCGCAAAGGCTGAATATGTATTATTTTACATTTTGGTATCAACAGAGTGGCACTGAAAAATGGTGGCACCTCTTTATTAAATGTTGTATCGGAGGATTTTTATTATAGATATATCCTGTTTGGTTTTATCTTAATTGGCTGGAGACTTAAACATACAGACAGCCAGATGCTCTTAATCTGATGTATTTAATCATACCGAAAGACACCCAATTAAAGCATTAACAGCTGCTGCAGGTTTAACTGATGTGCCTCATGTTGCTGTGGTAACTTACAGGTCAGAGTTCACCATTGACCCAATCAGCAGCCTCAGTTTAAATAGCGACCCAGATTAATGATAGGTTAATGATCTAGATTAATGATTGGCTAATGGTCTGTCCTGAAATGAGAGGAACGCCTACACCAGGATATTGGAAGATCAATGACCTGCTGATCGATCTGATACAGCATGACCTCAGAGGATGGGACTGAGGAAAGAGGGAGAGAGACAGAGAGGAGAGATTTTGACAGGGAAGGAAGAAAAAGAGGAGGAGGAGGTGTTGACCATGGGAGAAGGAGGAGAGAGAGGTAGAGGTGATGAAGGGAAAGGAGCAGATGTGGAGTTTAGGGGAAGAGGAGCGCAAGTAAATGAAGAGGTAATACAACAGGCTGTATCCTCTGTAAAGAATTGAGGGTGTTACAAATACAAGAGCAAATGTATTTTATTGAAGATTAAAAAAAACACAGAGTGGGGAAAAAGGGGATAATAGCACTGAGCAGGAGATTCAAGGTGATATTCAAGAGTGGATTTCTTTCAAAAGAGCCATCATAGGTGTAGTCGTTGCACCAAAAAAGCAATTCCATTTTTGTGCTATTACATTTTGCACTGTGTGGAGGAATAGGATATCAGAAAGCCCTACAGTTTGCTGCATGGGACTGTCAAAAAGGCTTCAGAGTCAGAGTGGTAATTCTAATTCTGGCACTTAATGAAAAGACAGTTTAATAAATTGAAGATTAAATATGAATTGAGCTCATCATAGGAAGTGTTTTAATGTATTTCACAGCCCTATCCCAGCTCTGTCCCCATTGGACATTCTTGGTACTGTATGAACAGTCATGGAGGAAACTTGTAATTTTTGCTTAAGGGCAGCCTACAATTTTGGGGAAATCAGTTTTATTTTAGCAGTCCCCTGTGAGATTGGTCATGACCAGCTCAAAACACCATGACAAATAGCAAAAGGCGACAAAGAGTAAGACTTCATTTGTTTGAAGTTACAGATTTACTAAAAATAGATCAAATCATACCCTATTTTTTCGACAATGTACTTATAGCTAATACAACCGATTAATTCGATTTTTTAAAACAGGAACTGTGGAGGTTATAAGCTATTTAGCAATTGAACATTTCCTCTGGCAAGAAACATTTAATTTCTCTGCAGTTGACAGAGGCATAATGATTTTGGTTCATCTGTCTGTGCTTAAGCTACTTCGGTCCCATTTCATTTCTCAGAAACGCTTCAAAGGAATTTTCAAAATTTGGCATAAATGTCTTTCTTGACTCGAGGTAAATAGAATGTGGCAGTTAAAGGTCACTGTGACCTCCGTTTTGTCTCATTTCATGTTTTTAGATCATTAATTTTGGAATGAAAATGGCACAAATGTAACTTGCACTTTTGAATTTGGTTGTCAAGGTTGTGTGACCTCACAAAAGTTGTTCTTGGACATAACTTCATTTAGGACTCAGGAATCAGGACGTAACCTTTTCAACTGATCAGTAAAATGAATCATGTCAATGTATGTTTGCAGGTTAGACCGTTAACAAATATGATCCAAGATCAGATCTGAACACAAGCGCTTTATATATTTCAGTCTTTCGCAACATTTGCTCCATTGTAAAAGAGACATAGATGTATTTTCAAAAACCCAAACTATGCATCCAACGAGAGTATGCTTGTAATTCACGCAATAATATCACAAAGTAGTAGACAAATTCCAACAATAATGTTTTGTCATTTGATATTTGCAGTGTGATTTTGGCTCAAGTATGCAACTTATTGCCAAATGTTGGCTTTGTGACCCAAGAATGGATGTTTTTAAATATAGAAGATAATAGGAGTGGGCCAGAAATGTTACCTAAAAGCATATTCAAAGGTTTCCCCAGCGCTATTCCTTACTTCATTTGTTGTTGTTCCTGGCTGCTCTGTCCCTCAGTCCACTTCTGATTTCTTATCTAACTTCCTTGCCCTTCTGCCGTCTTTCTTCCTTCTGCTTGCATGCTCATCAGATTTCACATCCCTGTCCACCCGCCTGTTAGGAACACCTGTATTTCTGCACCGTCTTATGTCCCTGTCTAAATATCTGTTTGACCCCGTCAGATTGAATATTCATCCTCATCCCTATGCGTCTGCTTTGCTCGTCTGATTTGCTGACCATTTCCTTCTGCTTTCTATCTTCTTCCTCTGTCAGCCTCATTGCGTAACTGTCTGCTTGTCTGTCTGTCTGCCTGTCTCTCGTTTCTCTTGCTGTAAGGCGATGCTGCGGACTTCACAGACCTTTACACCTGCCAAATAAATTCCTCCGTGGTTCGATAAATCCCTCCCCAGCAGCAAGGCTCATGACGAGGTGGACCCTGAAGGCTGAAACACACACAGAAACACACACACGGAAAATCAAGGATACAGCAGCTATTTGACACACACCTGAACAAACCAGCATGCAGAAATTACACAAACAAAGGGCCTTATATGCAGACAGGTGGATTTATTTATAGTGTCTTTTGTCAAATACCTGAAGGAAACAAAAAAGTTTAGTTCAGAACTATTCAGCAATCAACAATATACTGTAGCATATCACAGTAACCAACAATATACTGAAGCTAGACATCAAACTGTTATGGTAGGCTACTTGTATTAATGAAGAGACCATCGTTTTTATTCAAATCAAGTAACTAAGGAGTTCACTCAAGGTGTCTCAAACACATAATGTATTACATCTGAGGGTAGAGCAATGCATTCAAAATCTTAGACACTAAAAGCTTTTTATGCGTGCTTATGCTCGTAGTAATATGCAACGTTTGAAAAGGAGTGCATCCTACAAAGTTT